GTTCTAAAAGAGCCATAAAAGTAAGTAAGGCTGTGATTTAACATACAAACAATGTTTATGATTCTTTCAAGACAAGACACAGTTATACTGGGCTGAGGAAAAAACATTTTATGGTCACTGATGAAAGAAATAAAGAATGGAGAACACCTCATGATTTCATACATCATGCTGTGGATCAAAAGTGTTTGCACCGAGGGGATGTGTTTTCATGAAAAATCAAGTCATGCCTGACAAGCAATGCCTGAATGCCAAAGATTATCTCAGTATCATTGCCAGACATGTCAACGCATCCATCTGCAAATACATTTTTTGAGTACTGGTGCACAGGGAAAACAATGTCCAAGAGTCATTCCAGAAATATGAAATAAACTGAAATTCAGGAGGAGTAGTATGTGAATCTTCAGCCAATCAGACACACACACACTCACACACAGGTTTGACTAAGAAAAGGTCAACAAGTTTTGACTTAGTTCAGTACTGTTTCTACAATATCCAGTATTTGTTCTTAACTCTTCATTTGGAGATTCGACCCCTATGATGTCCAGATGCCAAACAGGTGCCCAGCTAGTACTGCTTGGATACTCATTTACTGTGAGTAGGGATCTTCCCCCTCCCCCTAACTTAAAATACCTTCCATAACCAGTCCCACCAGGCTCTTGCTGAGTTTAATTCAGACAATTGATCAATGAATACATGATTACACTCGTATACTTTTTTTATATGCATGATGTCAATAAACAATTGAAATCCCAAAAATTGTGTTCAAACCACAGCACTGTTTTCTTTTACTTCAAATGTTCCTGTATTCTCTATTCCATACTGTTTTGCATTAGTTTTGTGTCAATAGGATTGCTACTGCAGCCTCTTGTGTAATTTTCCCGTTTCAGGTAAGCGAAATATTAGAAAAAGTGTAATGATTACCACTTTTTACACTTCACCCAAAAATAATAATAGAGTATGGGAAAGTGTTCCATTTCATTCCAAATGTCTGTGTAAAGAACAATATGCAGCTTCTAAGCAAGTGGGAAATACAATCTTGAGGAGCAACTGTGATGTGTAAACACTTGTGTCTCCCTGAAAAAGAGCCCATTGGAGCCCGACAATATGAAGCAAAAAAGCTCAATTGCCTGTTTGCAGCGAAATATATGTGTTTGAAAATGTTGTTTATTTGTACAACCTAATAGTAGGTTCTCCAGGAAAGTAAGGTGCAGGCAGGAACCCCCTCCCCCACCACCACCACCTCTGCGCTAAGTGACACTTCACCCACAGGGGCCAGAGCACAGAGACTGATGATGACAATAAGCATGGACCCTGATAATGGCAAAAGAAAAATTTCCAAGCATCAAATAACCCGTAAGAAAATTAGCATAAGAGGCGACAATCTTCACAAACTGTCAACATGCTAAACAAGAAGATAATGACCAAATCCGGAAAAGCATAATGAAGCCTTGTAAAACTATATGTGTGACACACACTGTGGAGTGAGGTGGATAAGAGAAAAGGTCAGCTTATGCAATTTGAAGGTAATGTGTTCCAGAGACATTATCTTATTAAAAATGTTCCTTATTCACATATTAATGGTGGTTAAGGAGTGTGTTAAACTGTGAATGTGAATGTGAATGACCCTTGTAACCCACTACTGTGGGTTTATCTTAAGCTGTGTATAAGCACACACAATGGAAATGTAATGATTCCCTCTGATTTTACTGCCACACCAGCAAAATGTGGGAAGTCTGCTACAGGGGATGCTACTTAGAGTAATTTTGTCAGTTTTATCAATTTCAGTGCTTTACAGAGAGAAATATTGTACTTTTACTGCACTCTACTACACATGTGAGATTAGAGTAACTAATTTACATTCCAGAAGAAAAAAATCCCAAAGAATAATACTTTAGGTATTTTGTGATCCGTGTTTTTTTTTATTGTTTTGTAAATGAAACAAATGGATCAAAAATATATCTTCTTATGATCCATTTGTACACTGATGCATCCTCACCACGATATAATGTCACTTCCAATGTTGTTCACAGCATGTAGCTACATAGGGGAGCACCAATAACACAAAGCAGTACTTGCAGACATATGATGTCCAACCACTCAATAAAAAAATATAAATACAGGAAGACCTCTACCACCTTTTTATCAAGATGTGCTTTAAGTAATATACCGCAAGTTATTTCAACCAATGTCTCTAAAACCCAGAGTTTACCATGGCCTACAAATATTTAGTCATCTAAATCTATTTTACACAGTTTTGGTAATTGCCTAAACTCTTCTGTGTCAGACTACATGGCATCAATTTTCACCATGTTTCACCTCAACTGTAAACTTGCTGCAACAGCCCAAGATCACACAGTGTAAAGGGGCCTTAAGGAGAGACTAGATTTATGCATTGCATGTGCAAAGCTTTACTGATTAAACATTAATCAAATTTGGTGTAGACACCATTTGAGGTTAATTGTTGATTATGAAGAACACCACAAATGTTAAGCAGCATCACCTCCCTGGCTTGACATTTTTCTTTATTAGCTTTCCAATTTGAGCCTGAGGTGGTGAGTAATAGCAACAGTGCCAGGAGCTGGAAGAGAGCAAGATACAGGGGCCTCTTAGGTACACACGCATGATGTCACTGTAAAGTGCAAAAGGTTGTTGTACAACGCAGCACTAATTATGAAGAGTAGGTGACACTAGTGATAAAAGGAATATCAATATGCTTCTCGTTTTTGTTTCCTAGTTTGGTCAAACCCAATATAATGTTAGAACAATAAATTATCCAGATAACATATATTGTATTTCTGCCAAGGTAACAAATTGGTAGAAGTAAATGTTTGGAATAATTTTATCTGCATCTCAAGCCAGATCTGCATCAAAGCACATGGCGTTAGATTACCAGGTATTTTTTTTATTCTTCATTCAGGTAAGTGTGAAAGTTTAGAAGAAAAAGCAAAACTCTTCTAAATGTTTTTTAAATTGCCTTTGTGTATGACATGTGTTAGACTAAAAATCTTTCCTTTCCTTACAGCTGAGTCCTAGGTGATTTGACCTGATTTCACAAATGACAGTCGCTGAGGTCACACAAGCCAGAAAGGTCACATGGTCATCCTTTGAGGCCCAATTGCTAAAGGGATATAATTATGGTAATTGAAGTTGCTTTGGCTGAATGCAACCAACTACATTTACTCACGTACTGTACTTAATACATCAAATAAATGTCATGAATATAAATCAACAAATAAATTGTGATATATAATCTATTATGGATTAATTACACAACAGCATATAAAGTAGTTGAAATTAGCCGTACCTTTACCAGCTGCAACATTTAAGTGATAACCACATTAATGCATCACTAATTATAATCCAGTAATCCAGATATAATATTATTCTGAGGGCCATAATGAGTACATTTACTCTTAGTACTTCAGTATGTTTAAATGTCAATACTTATGTACTGTTAATTTGGGTAGACAGGGAGGAGTATTTATACAGTGTCGCCACCTACCCCTTTGTTCATGGAAAGTTGTTCTAGTTTGACTCTTGACTTCCTAGTGGATTGGCAGCTTGTTCAGCATGTATTGTGCCTCCTATCCAATATGTGGGATCCTGCCTGCAGTTACATGAAAAAGGTGATTGTCTGCTTACATTAACTGGAGAAGGGCAAAGTATTTTAAGTTTTATGCAAGGCTCTTTCGCTCAACGAACAAACTCATCTACTCTTCAGGGCCTCCATTGTGCAGCTGCATGTTTACATTTTAGTTCATGTTTAAGTGGCGCTAATGCTGTCCTGCGCTATAATGTAAGTTGGCCAATCTTCCTCACTAACCTTAACCATACCATAGTTGCTGCTTTTTCAGAAATGTCCACTGTCTTTTGTCTGGAGATAGGATTCCTTCCTGGAATGCCACATGGCTCATCAGCTCCATCTCTTCTTAAACCAGTGCAAACAGGGGCAGGTGACTTGATTTTACTTCTTGGTGGATAACAGTCCCTTTTGCTCCACCAACTTGGCAGCTGATCTGCACAGATGGTACCATGGCAGTGCTGAATATCTTACACCTGGATGACTCAAGATCTTTACATAGAATTTATTCTAATAAGCAGAAGAAGACATGTCACTCTAGATAATAAACGATCCACTTTGTCATAATATCATACAATATTTGGGATGCTCAATACATTGTGGCTCATAAATCCCAAAGTATTTTATGACAAAAAGAAGTGGGCATAAATTTGCTACTTTTATTCAGTGGCAGGCGCACACAGATATGCCAAATTCATGAACTGGGCAGGTTGTTAATACATTGGTTTTCACCTATGGGTTTCAAAATTTCAAATTTAAAAAATAGTTGAGTGTAAGTGCATAAAGAAAATATAGAAATAAACTATTGCGTATTGATTCTGAGAGAATGACATAAAAACCTGAGGAATTCTGTTGTTGTATCCTGTTCTGTGGCTAGGCTGGGAACTTTTCAACATTACTTATCGTCCACTGTGCATTTTTAATTTATTCACAGGAAAGATCTAAATATTCATCTGCATTATTTATAACACCCCAGAAAATCCAGGCATGTCATCTTTGTTCTTCTTCTTTATTTCAAAGGGGCAAGGACTTGTGCTTTAAAGAATCTTGCTTGTTCATTTGCCAACATGACAAGCAGATCCCACCACTCCTGATTCTCTTGATTATTTAAAACAAATGGAGGCCACAAGAACATCTGTAAGAAACCTGAAGTGTTGAAGAGGCTGTTCTTTAGCATCTCACTATTTCTATGTGCATGATGAGGTTGACGATGATGCTCACAATGCTGCATGCTGTGAAGTATTACGTGTTTTACAACTGACAATGAATGAGTCCATGGATGTTACAGGCAACTAACATACAAAGAAAAGAAACAAATGAAAGTATCTTAATAAATTAATTTTTTTTTTCTTTCTCATTGTTTATTACCATAAGCACACAGGAAATGTATTTACTTACAAAGAAAGCATGCAATGCGTTGATTCTTTTCAAGGACAAATAATCAAGATTCCTTTGTTTTAAGACATTCAAATGACCATCTCAGTACTGTACATTCCACAAAAGGACATTTCTGCTGAAAACTCCTGAATTTCCTAGTGGTAAAAAAGGAAAATGCAGTAGAAAACCAAAAAAGTATAGTTATTTGACCTTACTGAAAATGAATGCAAACAGAACAGATACAAAAAATACAAAGATAAACCTTATGTACTAAGGGTAGTCGATTACTAAGGGCAGTAGCAGCTGTTACAGTATTTATAAGTTCCATGTAATATATCTTATACAAATACCACATTTCACAACAACACAGTGTATAGTCACATAATCACAGTATGCACAATAATTACATTCTCATAACATCTCAGATAGAAGATAGGTGTGCTGCTGACTCATAAAATTTGAACAATAGTATGACGCCCCACTAATCAATGTACTGTTTGGGTTTGGGTTTGGCCTTTCCTTGAGCTTCATGATGCTTGAAATCTTTCCAGAATGTGATTTAAACATGACTGAAATGTCCCATGACAAAATCATCACTGTAAACTATGTAATTTGTGTCTATCAAATCAAATCTAATTGACTGTTTTATTAGTGATTTTCTTCTCTTCACCTCAGCTGAATGCATTCAATCTCCTCTGTTACAGGCATGGAGGCGGTCCTCATATCCATCTCATCCACAGTCTTACTAGGGGCATACGTTGACCTCCAGCGCAGCAGTACAATCTTCTTCAGGTACTTCACTGTGTTGTTCTTGACACTTACAAAGCAGAAGGTATTTATCATGCTGTTGCTCATGGCAATGCACTCAATGATGTAGAAGGCAACCAGTGAGTTCTTCTGGCGGGAGATGAGTGTTGGATGGAAATCTCGCAGGATGGTGAAGCCATAGTATGGTGCCCAGCACAGGATGTACGCTGTCAAGATCCCAATCAGGACCATCACTGTCTTACGGCGACAACGCAACCTCTTCCTAATCTGCTCCGTCTGGAAACCTGGGACATTCTTAAACCAGAGCTCGCGGGAAATTTGGGCGTAACAGATTGCCATGACGATCACAGGCCCGACGAACTCCACGGCAAAAACAAACAGGAAGTAGGATCGGTAATAGGCCTGCTGGTCCACAGGCCAGATCTGGGCGCAGAAGACTTTGTGAGTGGTGGGAGTGGTGCCGCCATGAGGGTACATGGTCTCAGAGGCAAAGTAAGCAGAGGGAATAGATATCAGAATGGGAACAATCCAGACTCCTGTTATCAGACAGTAGGCAGTTTGGTACTTCATACGAGGCCTCAGAGGATAGACTATAGCCATGTACCTGGAAAAACACAGACATGTTGTTGCATTGAGGAGGTAGGGAATAAATCCGTAATACAACCACCCTTTTTAGCAGTCTGAGTGCTGTGTGAACTCAATAGACTCGGCAAATTGCTCTCAGTCACTCATGGAAGATTAAAGTTCAATACACAGTGCTACATTATTCAGTGATCTGAATTTTTCATATTGGTAGAAGGTAATATTTTAGTGGTCAAAAAGTTGGAATGCTTTTGCCACTTAAAGCACGATCTCCAATCCATCTGTAAATGTAAAATATGTAAATAGTTGCTATGAATTGATTGACAGGTCATGTAAATGCATGAACTTAAAAATGAAAGTTATTTATGTTCGTTTGCATGACTGTCTATGTTGTTTATATATAAATTGTCTTCATTTTTCGGTCTTTTATTTTTAATCACAATATGTTTATAAAGACAAAATGTACCTGATAATGGGTCAACATCTTCAATGTGGTAAACCTCTTACATAATTCATACAAACAAACAAATAACTTATATTCAGTACACCATAGAATAGTTCATCCTTTCTCTAACTGTGGCTTTCTCAAACACATTTTTAAATTTGGATTGGCAACTTCTTGAGTCAGAGCAGTACTCAAAATACTCAAACTGACAACAAAGGAAACAGAAAAAATAAACCCTTCCACAAACACAAGATAAAGTGATTACCCAACCCTCGCTGTCTCCTTTGAATTATGTTCCTGAAATTCATGTGCAATTTAATGTATTTTCTATGGCAATGCCGGACGTTGTCTGACATGCGTGTAGCACAAGGAACAGTAAGGGAGTGGAGGATGCATACTGGAAACCTGGGTTTGCCAGAAGTCAGCATTTCCACTGTGAAGTTTGGAAGACTGAACTTTCTACACATGAAACAGTGGGGAAGCTTAAACTAAACAGTCATAGCTTTGGTGCATTGTTCAAAAGTGCTCATTCATGCCAAAGGGCAGGCAAAAAAATCAATGGCAATCATTTGAGGCACGCAGACTTTCATGAATGCTTACAGAACCTTGGATTTAGGCCCTTTAATATCCAAGACACATGTGCAGGCAAGTGAAGCAGTCAGTTCAATCAATTAGAGAGAGGAAGCTCATCTATACTCTATGTCGCTGTATGGGTACAGCATATAGCACTTATGTTCTGTGTCTCTCCCAAAGCAATCATGGTCTTTAACATGGTTTATCAAGGTCTGTGACTCCAAGGGGAATTCTATGTGAATATAGGGTTCACAGTTTGATTAGTCTGAGTAGGAAAAGCACACATGTTACCTATAACATTAACAATAGCTGACAGTGAGCAGCACGCAGAATGCTACAACCATGAAACAGCGGCTAAATGAAATCCAGCCATCATTCATTTTATTCTTTACACTTCTGCTTTTCATACTGTGACATGTCAAAATGCCTTCTGGAAAAATGGCAGATTGATCTATCCTGTTACTTCCACCAATGCTCATTGATTAAAAAATAAATAGCTGCAAAACTTTTCTATGGGTTACATTTTCTGAGGCTTCTTCCCCCTTGCTTTCTTGTGTTTCCCTACCCACACACTGAACATACTTAAAGTATACCTCAAGGTGCTTTTAAGCACAATGTTTAGCAGATGCATTTGCTGTAATGCTCACTAATACATTAGGGTTTCCATCCCTTCTCTTACTAACATTTATTGTTTTCATTTTCATTTAACCTTGAAAACAATTTTCCCCATTTAAGTAGTTTAAGTTGATCTTAAACTTAAATAAAAGCACTTCTGAGTGAGTCTTACCAATAAAAGTGCCCACATATGTTGTTTTGGAATCCATTGACAAAAAACCTATTTGTCCTTTAGTCATGAAGATGTTTATGTTTAGAGTCAATCTTACTGAATACTTTTTTTTTGTATGTAAAAATCATGATTTCCTGCCCAACATATCAGTGTTTAAACTATATTTCAGCCTGTGCCAGGGGACGACTAAATAGATAATGTATGTAGCTGGCACAGATGAATGAGGATATACAGATGGACTCTTTGTTAGAGGATATCTACCTGTTGCAACAGAGTAGCAAGGGAACTGTTTTCTGCTGAGCTTTTTGGGCTCATTAACAATAAAAATGAATCAAAGCATGTTCCTACATTGCCTTTAAAGTACTAGTGTTGGTGTACAAAAACACAAATCTTATATTTAGATAAGATGTACATCAAGACGAATCTGAGGCCCCTAAATCTCAATTGCAGTATAGTGCCAGTTTATGCCATGAAAGGATTGCATCACTGATAAAAGTAAATATATCCACTACAGTATAAATATAACCACGACCAGTAGGGAGTAGAACCACTGTGATTTACAGCTTGGTAGTAGTTCAGTCAAATTCAGTTATTTATTGTACCTTGATTGAAACCCATAAAGATAATATGTTTAAAATATGTATTTTACTATATAGCTATTTTTGTTCAGAAGAGCAAGAATGGTTCATCAGTTGGTTATTTTAATCTAAAAAGCAGTTTATGAAAAAATATGTTATAATAGAAGCAGTGGCTTTATTAAGTGAACAAATGTGGACAGACCCACTAACAGAACTACTAGAGAAATAAAGGCACAGACTCACCTGTCAGCTGCAATGGCAAGCAATGCGTTTGTGGACACGTAGAGGGACACGGTCCGGAGATAGTTGACAGAGGCACACAGCACCAATCCGTGATCCCAGGAAAGCTGTTTCACCACATAGTAGTCCACCAGGAAAGGGCAGCACACCACTGCCACAATGAAGTCTGAAATGGCCAGGTTGGCAATGAGCAGGTTGGTGAGGTTGCGGAGCTTTTTGTAGCGTGTCAGCGTGGCAATGAAGATGAAGTTCCCCAACCCGCAGACAAGCATGATGCAAACAAGCACCACGCCGATAACAATGGTGGCCACAAAGAAGGCCAGGCCCTGCGTGGTGTCTGGGATCTCATCAGGAGGGATGCCATAGTCCATATCATAGTTGTCCATGTAATGATCCAACTTGCCTGCTGGGAGACTCTCCTGCATCTCTGTGTAAGCTACTACCTTGTGGCTGATGTTTGAGTCCCCCATGTCTTAGTACACACTCTTATTTTGGTTTAGAAAGACTTGTATCTGAGAACAATTTGATCCAAGAAATTAGGTTGCTTTTTGGTGCATGGTACCAATGATTTCTGGAAACCAGCTTAATTATTAAGTTGTTTGTGTGAAGACAATAATTTGAATAGGTTGAATCTTCTTTGAAAACAGCAGCACATCTTCACCTGGAATAGAAAGTTCCCATCTGAGCATTACTCATGCAAGATCATGATTCTTGGCAACAAGATACGATCACAACAAAGTACATGAGTTTCAGGCGTAATCATGCTGGCATATGTGACATTTCTAAGATATTTTCTGATGTAAAATGTGTGTGGGTGAGGTCATTATATATCTAGCAAAGGCCTTGATGTAATTTATTAAGACATTGTTACTTTGCAGCAAGCCAACGTCACAGACGAGACTCAGCATGATGACAGGGCATTTAGTTTGCTGCACAAGTGTCCCTTAACCCCCCCTGCATGCATATGAGATAAGGCAAAACTATATTATAAAACCAACTGCAAGAAAAATTAAAACATTTAACAGGATGATCTCTGATTTGTATTCATACAGTAGCACAGGGCAATAAACCTGGCTGCTTAACAAACACAGTGCAGCACTCCTATATTGGAAGAAAGACAAAAAGAGACACTGATGATTTGACCCATAATCTCAAATATCTAGGTTTTAAAATGACTTCTGTGATCTCCACTGAGGTAATTCTATGTAAAGATAAATTAGTGCTTAAGGAAATAGGCAACTGTCTATTTTTAATGCAAATAAATGAAAATCTGTACTTTGAATTAGGGTTATGAGGTAGTTTATAAACACAAAGGTGGCTAGATTAAGATGCAGGTGGTCTTAATTGGAGTTTTAAGCTCTTGTAGGTAATCACAGCCTGGAGGGGAAATCACAGACTGTGATTTTATATCAATAGAGTAATAAAAACACATCCAAAGGCAAACTTTTATGTGAGAGAGATTCTTTTTTTGACTTTATTACAAGAAATCATCATTTCTAATGAGTCTCCACTGATAAAAACCCAGAAAAGGAAAAAAATAATATAAAGGACTTACCAGCAAATGTTGCAGAAGGTTCCACGACTTTTCTAAGCGACATTATAAAAACGATAATAATAATAATTATAATAATGATAAATATAATAATTGCCCGCTCTGTGGTTGGTTTGAAACCGAGCCGAAGCCTTCTATTGTTGCACAGTCCCACCAGTGGAGAAGGTTGCTCTATCAGCCTTCCTTGCCAGTGATTGTCTCTGCTGCCAGTCGGCTCCGCTCTCCTCCGGAGACCTCCTTTAAAAGGGGGGTGTGGAGGGAGAGGAAAAGTTGCGTCTGTTTCCCTCCTGCATCAGGTCAGAGATCCGACGATGACGCGAGTTTAAGACTCCACATCACAGGTCTTTTAAGAAGCGTGAGAGAGGCAGGTGCGCGTGTATGCGCGCGCGCGCACGTGTTGGTGGAAGTTGAACGGTAAAATGTTTACCAGCTAAATGGATGGTCATAAATACACAGTTAACACAGGATGCCCTTTACGTTAAAGGCTACCTTGCTTTACCTTTTCTCACAAGATTGAAGGATTAGGGAAGCCAATATTAATAAAAATAAGGCCTTTCAAATTGTATGTGCCTCTCTTTTCGACTTTAGCCACGTCTATCACAATGCACAGGGATATATCTCACTGGTGATAGATTTTTGACTGAATCCCACTGATAAGGTGGGAATCCATCAGAAGGGAGTTGCACTGTACATTATTTATAAGAGTCACCTTGAAAACCCTGCTACCTCTCCTCAACATCTAAATACAGTAATTATGATGTTAACTCATGTGACAGCCTAACTTTGCCAGCACTGTCCAGAGAGTGGCCTAGAGAAGCAAGGGCAAACCCTGAAATGCCAACCCATTGTTCTAAACTATGATTGGCTATGGGTATATTTTGTTGTAGACAGTATTGCAAATGTGAAGTTACTTTATACTGTGACTGTATTAATGTATGTGCATTGTTTTTCTTTTGTAGGGTGCCACTTGTGCTGTGATTGGTATTTATTTATCTTTTAAATTAAAATGTTTAACATAGGAATGTAAGAAATTTTAATATACTGTAATTTTATTAATTAAAGAAGTATTGGAGACAGAGATGGTAAATAAATGCAACTCTAACGTGTGTGTGTGTGTGTGTGTGTGTGTGTGCGTGCATAAGCAAGTGCTCCATTTGGGCCACCCCTGTCAAAAAATTGCAAAACATGCCACTGTATAGGCCTACTGCACATTTAACCTGAGTTTGGAAAAAGTGTTAAATTGTATGCTAATGTACTTTTGGAGCTTAGGGGTAGCTTCAAAAAAACACTGACGTATAATCCTGGAGGCCGGGGATAGTCAGTGGTCAGTCCAACCTTGTATGGAATCCCACAATGCCTTGCAAAGCAATTTGATAATGTCCAAGTTATACAACTCTAGGAATTTATGATCTTACTGGGACCTGGGTAAAAATTCTCAAGCGTTGCAGGAAATGTCCAAGAGGATGGGAATTACCAAGCATCGTAGTTAGCTGCTTTATAGTATAGAATAATCTGAAAACATGAACTAATTAAGTCATAGTCACTTTACAATCCCTCATTCGTTTTTTAAGATTTTAAAAGCACTATAGACCTACTAAGCATTTTGATCAGTACTTGTAACTCTTCTTTAATGTGGAGCTAATGCATTTTAAGTAACGTGCGTGTTGTTTGTTTTGAAGCTTAGAATTGTGTGCACAAAAAAACAAACAAAGCATTTTTGAAATTCACACCAATGCCCCTCACTGACACTGCTTGCAGTGGTTTTGATGAAAGTAATCAGTGTCAGAGATGTTCGGGAATATCCTTGCACATAATGAACAAGAAACCCTCTATTTGAGAAATTCTTTCCACTTTTAATGAGCCTTTCATTTGGTTGAGTTGGGTTGGTGATAAACTGCCATATTACTTGAATATGCTGCAACACTGAAGCTTCTCTTCTCTAAGAATAATTAGCAAGACTGTGAATATAATGTGATGTTTTTCCCTCTTTTGGGTCAGAGGTCAGTATATGGACAGAGTCATAGAGAGCTGTCAGCACCATATCTCTGTGCTCAACCATGCTGAACGGCAGATAAACTGGCACTGACAGTAGCACTGATGGCTTTCTAGGATCAATTCCTTTTTGTGATGGCAGTGCTGATTTTCTCCTCTAACAATAATCTGTCAGTAGCAGTCAGATGCCTTTTTGTGTCCTCTCGCACTGAGTGCCGCAGACTGGCAGATGCAGTCATTGCAGTTTAAATATAATAATGGACAGCAAGACACACCAGTGAACCTACAGACATGTTCTTCTGTCATTTATAATGGACACAGGAGGAGAGAAACCTAGTTTTCTTTACTAGAAATTGAACATATCCATCCCCCAGCTCATAAGAAATAAGACAACTGCCTTTGCATGTTCCTATTAGTTTTTATTACCCTCTAAATATAAGGGGCTACTTGCTTTGCCTTGCTCGGTGTCTGCCACTTTGGCCCAGGAGGCCTGACTAGCAGGATAAACAAAAGACTTTCATTTCCAAGTCTGGACAGCTCTCTAATCTCACTCAGGCTTCAGATTTACTGCCATTTGTAACCAATGAATATAGATGGGAAAAGAAGGCAGTGCGATCTCTCCTCAACCTTTGAGAATATGCACACGACCAACAATCTGTGGCCGCTGCTCGCGGGTGGACAGATTATGAGGTAGTTTATTGGTGTCAGTTTGAAACAGATACATGTGGGTTTAAATCCAAAACAGCTGCAAGGTTTCTGTAAAATGATGTCCAAACACTAGTTGACCACACAGTCTTTACTTACCATTCTAACTGGCTTTAACGTATTTTCTCTGCATTTCTTTATCATGTGTTCTGTCTCTATATGTAAATGTCGTTGTGTAGCAGAAAGTTACTGAAAATCGATCTGGGCTTACTCGCTTTTGCAGAACGCAGGGGTGTCATGATGCACTTGTGTGAGTCCTTCTTACAATCTCAGACACCCCCAATAACCCTAACCCCCTGGAAACAATATGGAAAAGGATTTCAAACTAGTTTCAAAATTAAATCCCAGTGACATAATTTGTCTGAAAGAAAACAATGATACAACACTTCTATGGATGAACAATGTGCTTATTCTTTCAGATCAAGATGTTGTGTCTATTGTGTTAGTGACTTTTACAGATCCCTGCTCAGACCTGGACAATAACACAGACATGGAATTGAGCGACCTTGGGGAGAACGCTTACAAAATAGTAAGTGCTGAATGCTAAATAAAAGAAAAGCATCATGATTGAAATGTCTCTTTTTTGTAGAACATGTGCTGTGTGTGAGTGATACACCACATATTTGAGAGTGCTGAAATATTCACAGAAACTATAACCATGATCTTGTCTTTTAAACTCAACATTTAACAAAAACTGTAACGCACCTACATTTTACGTTGGATTGTGTCTGTCGATTGCACTTTCAAAGATGATTTTTTTTTTTACACTTGACCAACAATTTTCATAAACTCATGTATCAGTTCTTTTTTTCCCACACATATAACAGGTTAAAGTGTGTAGGCATAGATAAAGGTCATCACATTATCTATGGTTATATAAAAACCATAACTGATTTAATGAACCATTTGCCTTTTCACTGTACAGTGTGTACTTACACTTGCATGGTTTCACCTTAGAGACAAGCATATGTGACTGGCAGGATCAACCAGGTCACCCTCGGTTGATCAAATAACTGTGAATGTGAAAGAAAAGCATACATCTATTGCTTGAATGAGAAATGAGCTACAGTATACAGCATTATTTTAACTCCATTATGTCAGTTTAACTTTCACAGTCTGCCCTTGAGGGCTTTGCTGGGTCCAGAAGATGCTGAGATGCTTGTGTAAAGCGATTTGACATGTGTTTTCTTCATTCATGTGTTTCAGCCATTTTACAGAAAGCTTGTTAGCTCTGTCTGGTGGAACCTTTTGACTGACCTTGTACCACAGCCTGCAGAGAGCAAGCCAAAGGAGAAGCTGTTCTGTCTTGACCTCATTTTTCTATCACTCTCTCTTACTCTCCTCTTTGCATGAGTTATTGTGTAAGAGAAAGAACGGAAATACAAAAGGGAAATACAGATTTAAAGAGATGTAGGCTGAAAGC